CATCGGGACTGAAGGCGCGATACCAGGCTACGCATACGGCGGCGGCGATGTCTTCGTTGGCGGCGCGGTACCATTTGGCATGGTTAAACTGGGTATCGACACGTATGAAGAGCCTATCAACCAGAGTGCGCTCAACGGCGGATATACACCTCAAGGCCATGTGACTGGCATCAGCTTGATGCACCAGTCAGGAACAGGCGGAGGATCGAAATATGGATATCCGTCCCAGATGCCGTTGACAAGCATCGATGGCGATGTCAATCTGCTGGACAATCGGACTTACTGGCAAGATCGTGTAGGGTCATCAAGTGTGACGCATAGACAGCTTCTGACAAGCCTCTAGATTGGCGAAGACGTCGCGCAAGTTGGCTACTTCCGTACCGAGCTTGAATCGGGTGTCAGGGTCGAACTGGCGGCCTCTCGACACGCAGGATTATACCATTACACATATCCGTCTTCGTCCGAGAAGCACGTTCTGGTTGACCTGTCGCACTACCTACCCCATCTGACACGCTCATGGGACTCTCAATTCTACACAGGTGCCGAGATCGAGATTCAACCAAACAACAGCACATACACTGGGTATACATCAATAGCAGGAGGCTGGAACACTGGGTAAAATCTCCCAGTACGAACTGCGTGTGAGACATATACTGACTTCGTACACCGTCATTTTAGGTCACCAGTCACCGTGTACGTGTGCGGCGAGTTCGATAGTATGCCTGACGAGGCACGTGCTTTCAAGGGGAAGAATACATTCCCTGTCGGTCGACACTTCCGGTCGTTTAATAATGGCACAACACCTCAACCTACGTATACTAGATCAACAGCCCGGTCAGGGCCGATGAACGATCGTGTTGGAGCAGTATTCACTTGGACTAATGCCACCGAGATCAAATCGCGAGTAGGCATCTCCTTCATGTCTGTTGACAAGGCATGTTCGTACAAGAACGCCGAGCTCTCTTCGTGGTCAATCGAGGACACCGCGCTAGCGACGCGTGACGAATGGAACCGCGATGTCTTTTCCAAGATTCGTGTTGACACTTCGGAGTCGGCAAACAAGACCAGGCTGGCGTTGTTATACTCCAGCTTGTACTTCATGCACCTAATACCCAGCGAGCGGGTAGGCGAGAACCCGCTATGGGAATCGAATGAGCCATATTGGGATGGTAAGTTCTGGCTGTACGAAATGCATGTGAGACATAGACTAACTTAGTGTAAAAGACTTTTATACTATGTGGGATCTGTTCCGAAACCAGGTCTCGCTCTGGCACCTCATCCAGCCAAGCTACTATGAGTCTATGATTCGGTCTCTGATCGATATGTCCAAGCAAGAAGGATATCTTCCCGATGGCCGATCTGGCAATTACAATGGTCTGGTCCAGGGAGGATCGAATGCCGACAACGTCCTGGCAGATGCTTACGTCAAGGGCTTGACGGGTATGATCAACTGGACGGAAGGCTATGCAGCAGTCAAGAAGGATGCCGACGTCTTGCCGTTCTTTGATGAGAACCCAGTCGACCCGTATGGTTCCCTGAAAGAAGGCCGTGGCGCGCTGAAAGACTGGATAGAACTCGGCTACGTCTCAGCTGATCGCAGCACGCGTGCAGTCTCAAAGACGGTGGAATACTCACTCAACGATTTTGCTGTCAGCCAGATCGCAGCTGGTGAAGCGCCTGGCGATCGTGACCTCTACCTTCGTCGGTCCGCAGGTTGGCAGATGAGTTGGGATCCTGAGTCTGCGAGTCGAAACTTTTCCGGTTTCGTTATGCCGCGATACGCGAACGGCACTTTTCACAAGACCTACGACATTACTGACTGCGGCGATTGTAACTGGGAGGATGAGAGCTACGAAGGCACTGCTTTTGGTGAGTCGCTGCCTGCCTGCATTCATCTTCTGCTTGTACACTAACAACAGGGTAGAGTATTCCTTCGTTGTTCCCCACGACATCTCGCGCGTCATCACGCTAATGGGCGGCCCTTCGCACTTCGAGGAACGCCTCGACTACGTCTTCCAACCAAACACGTCTGGCGTAGACCTCGGCGTGAACGGACTTGGTATTACCACCATCAACAACGTCGCAAACGAACCCGACTTCGAAACACCCTACCTCTACAACTACCTCAACAAGCAGTGGAAGAGCGTCGAGCGAAGCCGACAGCTTGCCAATGACTTCTACTTCAACACAACCAATGGTATACCCGGAAACAGTGATGCAGGAGCCTTGAACTGCTGGCTCATTTGGCAGATGCTGGGATTGTATCCGATAGTCACAACCCCCGTTTATCTCCTGGAAAGTCCTTGGTTCTCCGACATCAACATTACTGTTAATCATGACAAGACATTGAGGATCAGGGCCGAGGGGCTGGATGATGGAGACGGAAAGCAGGGGTACTATGTCCAGGGCGTGAGCATTAACGGGCAGGATTGGGGAAAGAATTGGTTCGAGCATGAAGACGCCGGTGGTATCATGACGGAGGGAGGCGAGATTGTCTTCAGGCTTGGAGAGCAACAGACTGTGTGGGAGTCGGGTGATGTACCGCCCAGTCCTGGACATCAGGTTGTTGATGTTGATGAGAGCGCACAGTTCTCCAACTGATGCAGAACAGCACAGCGCGAACACCAAGGGCCAAGGGCATAAGTAGTGATAGCCAATGGTGAAGTACAGAACAGACTCGCGTCGATGAATCTTTGTGATATCAACCTCCGTCAAACATCAAACTCCCCGCCAAGACATCCGACACATCTGACGCACTCCGCACACCCCTCCGATCACGTGAACTATCCTGAAACACCTCCTGCAACAGCAGAACGAGACCCATTCGCCACGGCATTAACTACGCTGATAGGCCAGAACACATCTCCCAGAGGACGCGTCACCAGCAAACCGCTCAATAGTACAAGTCAGGTGCAAGTCAACCAACAGCATGAATCATGCACGATATATCCGCATCCATTATAGGTACCTCGCCTCCGACACCCGGCGCCTGGATTCGCAGGCGACAAGGCGATCACACAGGTACAGCCTCAGCGCCACGGAGAGCATGACACGATGCACTGGAAGTGTACTGCGGGGTGTACATCGCGGGTGCCTGAGGAAAAGGCATAAGAAGGCTGTCTCGCCCGTTGTATTGGAAGACCATCAAGCAACATCTTCTTCGCACTACAACAACCCACTTCTATTCCATTCTTTCTTTGCGTCTGTGACTGCAAAAGCTGACCTGGTGTCATTCGTTCAAACGTACTATACATAATCTACCGACGAGTTTATTTCGATACCCATAACCAGCAATATGCGTTTCTCCATCGCTACTCTCCTCACCTGTAAGCTTCCCCATACCTCCACCCACACTAGTAGTCAGAAACTCAAAGACACGGTATACTAACATCTCTCCCCAGTGGCCGCCGTCTCCATGGCGCAAGTCACGCCCAACAACGCAGGCGCCAAGAACGTCGGTGCAGGCGACGGTTCGCAGTTCATCACCGGCGGCTGCGTGTCGGATGCCGATTGCAGCTCCGCCTGCTGCAGTCAGGTCGCAGCGACCGGCGACGGTGTTTGCTCTGCTGAGGCCGCTAGCCAGCAGAACGGAAAGACTGGTTGTGGATTCACGGACCCGAATGCGGATGCGGTGATTGCGGCGGCGCAGGACCAGGTTGCGCAGCAGGGATTCAAGAGGGTTGTTCGTAGCGAGTAGGGTGTTGCTTTGAGGGAGGTGGTGGTGTTGCGTCAATGATAAGATGGTTTGACGGTGGCTGTGTTGTGTCCTGGCTGTGATGTCCTTTCTCGTGACGTGCACCAAGTCCAACTAATTCATGCGCGTGAATGGCGTGATGATCATTAAAGACATAACTACTTTAATGATCATCACGCCATTCACGCGCATGAATTGGTTGGTTCGTAATGATAACCTCAATGCGCATATCCGCTTCCCGCCCCAAAAGCCGCCCACAGCCGAGCCACCCAAAGCGCCAATATCAATTCCCGACATGTCTGGTCTAGATCATGCCTCAGTTCAATCGTCGGCATCTTGCCTCCAGGCCCCATCTTCAACACCTCTGTCGCAACGACATGGCCTTCACTGTCTTTCCACTGACTAGGTTCCAATTCGTTCTTCCTCTGCTTCAGCGCCTTTGTGAACCCCCCTGGCTTCCCACAAGTCATAATCTCGTTCGGTCGACTGCCCTGCGTGGGCATATGCACGACATGCCACCGGCGCAGTCCGAAGCGCAGTTGTAGAGCGCCGGGTAGTGTGCTCCCTGCTTTGCCTTGAATATAGTATTCGTTGATGAGGAAGGGCGGGTCGTGGGCTTCGTATAGGACGCTGCTGCTGTCGAAGGCGACGGTCGGTGCGCCGGATTGGAGGAAAGTGATCTCTTCGGCCTTTAGCCTTCGTATCCGTAGTTTGTTTATTCGCGCATCGAGGAGGGAGGAAAGTTGATAGGCGGGCGCGTTCGGCGTGTGGATGAAAGTGCCATAGATGGTGAAGGTCGTGGCTTTTTCGTCGACAGTAGCGTATGCGGGCGGTAACTCGGGCGGAGGCGATGCTGGTACGATGGTGGATGTTGGCTCTGGGTCGACAGAAGGTTGTTCGGTAGCGGCGGGCTCGGGAAGAGGTTGAGGTATCGTGGTGGGCGGAGGCGCGACGACGGCTTCTTCGTATGAGGGTATTGGCGCGTTGATGTTTGGGCGAGACATGGCTGCGATAACCAGGAAAAGCACGCAAGCAGTTTCTCAGTCGGGCTGGCAGTACTCACAGTAATGCACAAGATGTGGTTTCAGAGGCTGTGTTCCGCCAAGCATGCTGTCGTATTGATTGATTGATGATGTGAACACGGCAAGCCCGGCGTGACGTACTTCATCCACAACCTCGGCTTCTTCCGCCTGCCAAGACCCCACACCTGCAGTCTCTCCCCACGTCACACCACGAGTCCCACGGCAGTCGCGTGTGGAACCTAGACGCATCCGAGCCAGACTACTAGAAACGCAGCACTCCGCCGTCATGTTGGTGGCTCTTTGCATCTGTGCATCTTTCTCCAACAAGCCAAGTCGATCATGCGAATCTCGTGGCCCTTCTCCTGCAACTCAAGCAAGAGTGGTCTTGCTCGATCAAGGAACTCGGCGCCGCGCTTACTATCAGCTGGAAAAATCGAAAGAGAGACAGTTACGCCCAGACTGGCTGAGTTCAAGATCTTTCTCAAATCTCCAATAGTCTTCTCGATATCTGACTCAATCCTCCAACTATTGTCAAAACGCATGGCGAAGGTGATGCGGCCGGTGATGGTTATGGGGAGTACACCCGCATCGATGTTCGACCACCACGGAAGCTTTGCGAGAATATCGTGAATAGACAACGGCTGCAACGTGCAGATGTACTTCTGAATGATGAACGTCGTTCTCCAATGGAATCTTTCGAGGATCTCGTCAGCTAGTGGGTGGGTGGTTGATATCATGGGGTATGGACAGCCAATTGGTGGAGTAGGTAGAGTGCCGTCCGGTGCTCCTTTGTGGATGGAGAAGCCAGTGTTGTTTGTTGCTAACTTGATAGTGTAAGTGTTCTCCCTAGGGAGCAGATGGTCGTATACCAAGTCCCTAACCTCCCGTGGTAGCTTCCCTGTTGGTAGCGATCCGAACATTCTGTCGAGGAGACCAGGGTGTACGAGCCTGGCGTACCCTCCGAGGACATCTGCGAACGTCTGGTGGATGTACAGTTCCTTCGGTTCGATCTCGGAACGCTTCCGAAGCTCTGCATTGATACGACGCTCTGCCAAACCAAGCTTCATCGTAGCTCCGTCCTTGCTGGCTGGGTCTGCGAGGGACGGTGGACCGCTTCGAGTATCTGGATCAAGTCGTTTCTCGATGCCCTCGAGAGTCGAAAGCTGCTTTTCTTTCCACGAGTACAGCTCTTGCAGCGTACAGTCAAATCTTTCCTTCTCAGCCCTCAGTCTCTCCGCAATGACATGTAGACTGGCATCCTGGACGTTAGCTGAGGTTATTCACGCAACGTTACGACAGAAAGCCCTGACTGACCTGAAAGCTCGGAGACGGTAGTGCGCATACTCCGTCGAGGCAAGTGAACAGCGTCCGAAGATATCTACGAAGCCGAGTTGGTCACCAGTGGTATGGGTTGTGAACATGGCGAACACCTGGGTAATATATTGAGTGATTTGTTTTGGTGTTACGCAAAACACCAAAGGACCCAGGTATGGGTTGCGACACTCAGCTAGCTGAAAAACTAGTCCCAAAGAGGCAATTTTGAAAGGCTCCGTTGCCAGTACTCCAGAGAACGCGTCAACAAAGATTGAGTGACTCGTTAAGAATTGAATATGTTTTCAAATTTCTCTACCTAGGTACACACTACCGTGAGTACGTGATTAATGCTCAATTTGGCTGAAAAACTCCAATCTTCCATGCGAACCAAGGTTGAGAACTAGACCCCAATCATATCACCCGAATTTCATACGACCCACACGCAAAAGAATGCCCCCGAATAAGAAGTACCGCCACGTGCAACCCGAGAGCTCAACGGATAACGAGCCTTGCGATTGACGTAATTTGAACCGGCAAAGCTACTAGTTTCGCGTCCTTGGCGAAGCAGCGCTTACACTTCGTATTGCATCCTGCAAAAAGTAAAGCCACTATCTGAGCAGGGGTATACATCGTCTTAGGGACTATTCACTTACTAGAATTTAGCAGTGTATATGCAGCAAATCCAACACGCATCATAGCCCTTCCTGGTATCGTGTTCACATCGTCTAACCCTCCGCCCTCATCTCCGCCTTCTCTCCAGCGTCCAGATTACGTCCCGAAGGATACATCTGATACAGAGACAGCCTCATATACTCGCGGACTTCCGCCTATTGAATCTGATTAGTGTCATGCACTCTTACAAAAGACTCAAGTTGAATACATACCTTACGAAACTGCCTTCGATTAGTCCAGGCATCAGCGAATGTGGCGCTTCCCTCCCCCGCCGTCCATGCCCACCCGCTAATCCTATCGTCGAAGTGAATCTGGTGGCCTCGAGCCTTCAAGGCCGTCAGGCTCGGGAATATGGCCTCCATGATGATATGAACGTTCTCGTTATGAACAGCGGCATCGATCTCGGTCCCAACATTCGAGGCTGATAGTCGTTCAGTAGTAGCTAACATGGCTTGGCGTATAGTTGGGTCGGTGGGAAGTAGATCCTCATATTCTTTACGCGTAGGACCAATTTGGAGGTGCCAATACGTCTCTTTGTTAGGGAATATCACTTGGATACGTGCTCGGGTATTGGTGAGTTGCTGCAGTAGATCGAAGCGCTGACGGAGTAGAGTTCTACGCTCTTCAACCTGGTAAATGTCCTCGGGCATGTAGATGGTGACTTTGGAGAGCCAGCGTTTTGGTACGATGTCTTGCTTCCATGCATCTTGGTTGAGAACCCTGCTTATTAGCGCGTCGTGGTGGATATTGAATTGGCCACGTCGGTAACGAAGTTGTAAAATCTCTAGAGCTGACTCTTTGCCGACGATGGATGGATCGATGTAGTAAGGATCTTGGCCTCGATCGACGACACTAGCTGCCATCTTGGTCCGGTGGAAAAATGTAGAGCGTGGTTTATCGGTGGTCTTCAGTACGTATCCACTGCCCTCCAACCAGATGTCAAACGACGGGTTCTCGAAATCCATCAGCTCAGCGTAGACCATGTCGCGCAGCTCTCGGGGTAGGTGATCCTGCACGGCCTGTAGTATTGGTGGGGATTCTAGACCGGAGCATTCGACAGCGGTATGATACAGACGATCCTTCGCTCGTCGCAGTTGCGCCCTTAGTCTTACGCGCCGGGCGCCGTGTCCCTTGGGGCATGCAGTAAAGGTGAAATTATCGACGGTACTTTGAAGTGGTTCAATCTTCTTGGCGGCTCTGCATGGTCGTCAGCGTACGGTTCATCTCCATTTGGTGACGGCGCTCACTGGTATCCATCTGCGCGCAGCTCTACAAGCGTCGGGACCTTGCGTGTCTTCGTATGAACCATGGTTGACTGCGATCTTGGTGTAATTTGGGCGAGATTGACGTATTTGCGCGTTGGAGTTGGCCGTTACGAAACTGAGAGCAGGCCCTGGGTGTGGAGCGGCGTTCATATATACGCAGAAGGTGGAGGCGATAAACATCCCGTGATGTGGACGGACCACAAAGTGGATAAATGAATGAGCGATCTCGATCTAATATGCGCTGAACACAAGACCTTATACAAGAGAACTAAACAGGTTGCCGACTACACTAAGACAAAACCATGCAGAAAAGGTAACCTAACACGGATGTAGGCTCTAGGGTGTCTAACCTTTTCCTAGGCTGACGTGACAAGAAAGAACAACGCTAATGAATGTGGTCGTAATTAGATGAGTTGAGGTACACCCCGATACAAAAGTCACAGTAACAGCGTCGTCGTAAGCACTACCAGAACTCCAAAACAACATACCACCTGATCACACTGCCTACCAAGAAAGCCCAGCTTCCTGCCATTGCCGCTATAGCTGCATGCACTTTTCCCTGTTCCTCGTTCTCACCGTCCTGGAAGAGAAAGAAACCAGCCATCATGAAACCAAGCCCACCAAGCGCATTGAGAATGGCACTCTGCCAATCCGAATGAAAGAACCTGGGCTTGTACCAGCGCTCTTGTTCGGAGAACGCCAACATAGCGTTCGCGACCAGGAACAGCGCGCCGTGTACAACCTGGGGCCCGAAAACGATGTATTCAAAGAGAGGGTCTTCTTCCGGAACAATGCCGGGAAAGTCGACGATGCCAGCGAACATAAAGATGATGCCCCCAAAGAGAACGATGAGACCAGCCTGGAAGGCCAAGTTGGTGGCCGACAACTCCCAAACCTTCTCCCACGATGGTATCCACTTGAACTCCGGTGTGCCAAGGAGCGCTGGCCGGTATCTGACTTTCTCGGGCTCCAACTTTGACGTTTCAAGTGTACCACGGTCCGCATTCAGAGCACTGAAGGTGTCGAAGATGCCTGCGACGAAGAAGAAGATCGATCCGATCAATATCGTACTAGGAACGGCGACGGTCTCTTCGGTTTCGAACTCGGTGGAGGGATTGATGCGAGGTAGTAGATCGAAGGTGGCGTTGATGACGAGGTCGATGGAACCAATGAGGAAGATGATTGCTACCAGGTAGATGGGGTCGCGGTAAGGAAAGACTGTGAACATGGATTTTAGCCGCACTTTTACGGAACTGTTGTTGTCCCACTCCATGACCGAAGTGGTGTCGAGATAGCGGTCGTCGATGTATGCTTGGCTGTTATCGGCGTTGCGTTCGACATCGAAAATGGTCGGCTGTGAAGTACGCTCGGAGTGGCATTTTTCGCGGTGTTCAATGTGGTCGACATGGACGAAGGATTGGAGCTTCTCGGTTGAAGCGGGGCGTGGTTGAAGATCGATTGATAACGTCTCCGATATGCTATGTGGGCGAGGGGTCATGCTCATCCGCGCCTGGCGGATGTACGAAGCACGGATCGTTGCTGAGGCATTCATGTCGGGCCAAGACAGCGGTAAGGACAGTATTAGAGATTAGAAGTTATCAGTACTTGTACTAGGAAATTGAACGAAGGACACAATTCGACACGGTAGGCTTATAGAAAAGAAAGCATCCTCAATAGGCCCTTATGAGAACCCATACCCAGCGCAATCAAACGTTAGTTGGGTGTTGCTGTGTTGATCGTGCGCTCAGACGCCCAAGCCCAAGACTTCACATGTCTGACCCACGAGCTTCGTCATGCTTTTGGCCAACAAGAATCGAGTATTGATGCTGTCAAGCTCAACCAAGCTTTGTGAAGTGGTGCTTGTTTCCCACTTGCTTTTGAAGTGGGTCGAACAGTACGTGGCGTCGTTCCGGATGGAGGAGTGCCGCCACTTGCGTGTGGCAGTGAACTGTTAGGAGTGAGAGTTGTCGGTTTCAGTATTTGCATCGTATGAGACATCGGCCCAAAATAGGGGCGACTAGACGAAAAGGGCCCGGATCGCCGGCAGGCGCCGCTCGGACCGATCATCTTCAGGCACTAGTGCAGTGTGCGCTTCATCCTGGAGGTCGATCTGGAAAGATAGTGGGTTGAAACATTCTTGCCAACTCAAGGCCACGCAAGCAGAAGGAAGGCAAGCGCTTATGGAATGGTGATGTTCAAGAGCGGCACTATTGTGGTTGCTGGTGGCTCATTGTGGTACTCAAACACTGGCCTCTGAAACCATATCGCTGCGCCGTCTTCGAGGTAGAGTTTGTCCCTGTCGCATCGATAGGCCTGTCGGGGGCATTGAGTATATCAACGCTGTCGCGCACGAAGATGCGTGCCGGCAGATGCCGTAGATGATCCGCGCAGTGACCGTCTCTGGGTTATCAATGCACTCTGGTCCTGAGTAATGCAGTGGGCATGCATTGCGCTGGCGGGTTTCTCATCTTGCGTCGGGATCGCCTGGTGTTGTCACTGTTGACGAAGCTGCCGTTCAGACGAGTGGGTGAGAGCGGTCTCGGCTGGAAGGCGGTGCTGACATCATCCGCTAGGCTGGGTCAAGGCGCGGCCCTCCCATCCTTCCAAGGTTTTGGCGGCTTTCGCGACCCATCACAACAACGCTCTTCGCGAACGACTTCTGGCCCACCTTCTATCTTATTGATTCATCAGCACGCTTCAAGCGCTCTGTGCTTGATCGACACCACTATAGTGTTCGTCGCATGAGCGGTCCGCTTACTGATATCTTCAATAATCTCGATCGCCCTCAGTTTCGAGCGCATCACCTGCTCAGTCGTGGGCTGAATACAAGAATAGGCACCTTATCTACTTCAAACCCCGAATCGCAAGATAAGACGGCTTCAAGCGCCGAGTCACACTATCGGTACCTGGGAAGGATGTACGCTTGGCCTTGGGATCGGTTTCCGGGGTCTGCACGAAGACCTAAGAAAAGACGCGCCACGTTACGCGAACCCAAGACAACCGCACCCAACCTCAGCGTACATAGCCGGAACCGTCGTCTTCACCGTTCTAGGAAATCCGGTCTGGCATTCTACTTCAGAGACAAGTCTACAGCGACAAGGCTACGAGGCAAGCTGATGACTACCAGTTGATGGAGTGCACAGAAGCCTTGCAAACCATGTACGATTTCACCGTCGTTGAGCCCCAGCGATCCGCGGATGCTGCGTAGACCGCAACATCCTCCTGCCAGCGATGATCATTTAAGGAACATGTTTCGCGATTTAGTCACTTCGTACCGTTCACCAGTGTTCATGCGCGTCTACGTTGAGGGCGCGGGAGGATGGCCCCGCGCCCCAACGCGCATACCCGCCGGAAGGAACGTAGCGCATGTCAGCCGCGCCATCCATCAGCAGCATCTACAAATCATCGCAAGCGCCTATACACCCCAAGATTAGATGCATGACGCAGCGTTGCCGAGTCGCATATGCGCTTACCAGTGCATCGCAGGACACTAATCCTAGGGAAGAGGCAGAGGGGCTCTGAACAGCGAACCAGAGACGCCAAGGTCCTATTTACCCAGGACAAAAGTGTAGCAGCTTGAGATGAACTGCCGAACTGAACGTCAAGGTAAGCAGTACCAAGAAAGTGTTGTAGCGATATTCTAGGATTGATCGCCTCGTGTACTGTTTTTGGCCCGCACCCTGGACAACTCGAAGCACACGCGAGGCTCTGCTTCACCCATAATTCGCCTTACCAGCTACAGCCTTTCTGCTCCATGACCTGCTCTTTCGTCATGCTTAGGGTGATATGGGGTAAGAAGGTCTGATCATTTCACTATTTCCTTATCGTTTCCTTCTGGGTCAGTTTCCTGGACGTTGTCCATTTTTCCCTTGTGTCGAATATGAAGTTACCGAGTGGATATTTCCTGCCCCGAAGTACATCAGCCAGCCCCATCGACCGAGGAAATACCATCAGGGCCGCATCATGGGTCATCCTTATCATCACGATGATGGTTTTTGGAGCACGGCAGATAATGAAGGTTGTTGTCTTTCGGAGAATGGCGCTCGATGATCTCCTGATATTTATGGCTTTTGTAAGTTGCACAACATATCTCTCGAACTTCGCTAATGCATGCAGTCCTTCGCCGTCAGTCTTTCAATCATAGCCCTTGTCCTGTCTTTCGAAGGTCTCGGCACTGTTGGCCCGTTGACCCCGGAGCAAACCATCTTCCTCATGAAAGGGTACTATTCGTCTCAGATTGTTTACATCGTAGCCATTGGCTTCGCGAAGTTATCGATATTGGTAATATTTTACAATGTCGTCGTAACGCAACGCATCATCCGCCGAGCTGTGGTAGCTTTCAGTGTGGTGGTGTCAGTCTGGACAGCAGCGTCGCTTGTCGCAATTGCGTTTCAGTGCCAGCTACCTCGACCTTGGCAAATTGTAGGCCCAAGATGTTTCAACTCGGTATGCAACATAGGACCCAATGAAACACGATCTGAAAGCTGACCTGAACAGCGCATCTTTTGGATCGTCTATTGCATCGTCGACATTTCCACCGAAGTCGCAGTCATTATGCTTTCCATACACCTCGTAGCATACCTTCAAGTACGGCTCTCAAGGAAATTTGCAGTCATTGCATGCTTTGCGCCGCGCATGTTGGTGCTAATTTTGGCAATTGTTCGTCTCGTTTTGCTATTCCCAGCTACGCTCCATGGCGATCCCCAATACCGACTTTGGGTGCCGGCGATCGTATCGCAAGCCCATGTATGCCTCAGCATCGCAACTGCCAGCATTCCATACATGGTGCCCTTCTTCAAAGGTATGGACGGTGACTTGCGAAGGACTCACTCGACGAAGAGTCGCCTCCATCTCATCGATCAAGAGACAGGGCGCTCAAGGTCCTCGCTGTGGTTTCGCCGACACAACAAGACCAAGGCTCTTGAACTCTGGAACCCGACTGCAGATGCCGTTGTTCCATACAATCGCGTGCCGCAGCTCTCGCCTTTTATTCCCGCTCCAAGACCTTTATCGCCTTTATCGCCTCCTCGGCCGCAGACGCCGC